TACAATGATATAAATAATATAAACAGAGAAATAAATATATAAAAATAAATATATAAAAATACGATAGATAAATAACATATAAAGAAAAGAATAAAAAGAATAAAAATAAATACGATTCATCAAATCATCTATTTCATTATTATTTCATACAAAATGAATACAATTGATAATAAAATATAAACATAAATATTTACATATTCTGTATTTATCATACTTTTTATTTATTTTAGGAGCAAAATATAATAAATGGAATATTCTATGGATGCAAATTTTTTTGCATCTTTTTTCTTTTTTGTAAATTATTTAGATGCATTTTTCTTTACTAATTTTCGTGCCCGAAATACAAGAAATGATCAAAAAAAAGAAATAATAATAAAGTATTTTGATGATGATATTAATATAAAAGGAAATGATACGAACAAAGAAAAGAAGTATTGATAAATCACTTGTTTGAATGTAATTATGAAAATGTTCACACCAATCATCAAGAATAATATAGAAAAACAACACATGAAGAATGAAACAAAATATCAATTAAACATAATCCATTATTGAGTTAAAAGAGGAAGCATTGAAGATAAAGAATGAAGCGTATGGAATTTAATTGAAAGAAACACATGAGAAGCAACTAAAACAAGATATTTATACTCATTCAACATTATTAAGAAAGTATATGAATCAGTAAATAAGAAATAGATAAAATAGCATTAAAACACTTCAAACAAAATTTGTAATAACAGAAATGATAAAAAGTATATTCAAAAGATGAATTTGATGTAAATACAAATAAGAAATAGGAGAAGTTCAATTGAAATGTTGAATATTTCAATGATATTAACTCTTATCGCTACTATTCATATTACAAATGAAAATAATATCAAATGTATTGGATGGTATTAATGAAAAAAGAATGAAAGTAACAAGTGAAATAAATGAAGGAATGTGAAAAGCATATCACAAAATACTTAAAACTCTTAAAGCTATTAAAATGGAAGTGAATATCAACAAATGTTGAATAGTTAAGAAATGAAACATAGAAATACAACAGAGTATGAAGAATGTATCATTAGTATATGAAGAACATCAATAAAAATAGTTAGGAGTATTTCATTCTACAAGGAATAAGAATGTAAGATACATTAAGAATGTAATGAAAAGTATTGAAGAATAAATGGATGAGAATATGACTTTTTACGAAGAATAGAAATTGAAACAAGACAAACTAAAGACAATAGCTATATGAAAGAAATATTCTAAACTCATTATACAAATGAATGAAGATGAAAATATGTAATGAAATAATGAATGAATTTGAAAGCAAAATGACAGATCAGAGAAAGTCATGCAATATATTTTAACAAAATAATGGAGAGAGGAAAGAATATACTCAATGGAAAGTATCAAACATTAGTGTTTGAAAACCAGCTATTTAACATGACATTACATATACAATATATCTAATATGCAAGAAAAAAAAAGCAACAAATGATACTATATTATTGAACTGCATTATTATAAAGAAAAAAACGTACGTATAAACACAATAGAGTATTGAAATGTATCTGGAGAGAAATGAAGATCAAATATGAATTTTATGTGATGAAACACTACAAATAATAAGAGAGAAAAAGAATAAGATGATGTTAGTGGTAATAAATGAATCAAAAAAAGAGTATAGAAAAGAAACTGCATCATTAGAGCGAGTTAAAAAGTTGTAATGAAACAAGAAGATAATATTCATAAAAGAATTAATAGTTATGTGAGAGACTTAAAGAAAAAAAAAATGCAATTATAATTGTTATGACAATAGAATGAGATAAGAATGTAAATATATATTCTAAACTACTAAAATATATCAGAAAAGTTAAAAGAATGAACATAGTACTAACTATAATAATTATAATTACAATAAATGGATTAGTTAATACAGACTCAATTAAAATCGTATAATGGAAAATGAATCTAAATACTATGGTGGTTATTATAAAAGTAGTGTTGAAGAACATGAAAAACATTATGAGATAATGTGAGATTATACTGATAACAATAATAACATAGAAAAAACGAAATGATGAAGAATAGAAATAGAAGATAAGATGAGAAGAAATTCTCATATGAACAATGATTTTTATCAGAATGTAAACACCAATTTAATTTTTTGTTTTTCTCTTCATTATTTTTATTATACCTTACCTTCTATTATATTATGACGCCTACTTCTTTTTGGGTAGTATGTATAATTTTTAATAAAATTTATAATAAAATATGTATGATAATAATGAAACTAAAAGAAATAATTAAAATCATTATTCTTATGATTTGCACTTGGATGGTTGTTGGTAATTCCTATGAAAAAGGTTAGTTTATTGTTATTACAAAAACAACACCTTTTCTCAGCACGTTCTTCTATTATTTAAATGTTAGTTATATAGATTTACCCTCTTTTTATTATAATCTGTTAATACAATTTGAAAGTTTTATAATAACATACTTTTTAAGTCTTATACCTTCAAAAATAAATAAAAGAAAAGAAGAAAAGAAAAGAATTAATTTTTAGGAGAATGGAAAGACTTGTATAATTTAACATAAACAATTAATAAAATAAGCCCTACAATGAACACACTTCCAAAAACCATCATTCCTCCGATTTTCATTTCTGTTGAATATTCTATTTATGAGTAACAATGTGAAATTGGTATTAAATAAACAAACCATAAACTTCATCTTCTTTGCTCATTATTCAATATTCTAAGTTTTATCTTAAAAACTCCTATTTATATTTTTTTTTCTTTCTTTTTTTTTCTTTTTATTCTTTTTTGATATAAAAGAAGAACAAAGAATTGACATATCCACAATTGATTTAATGTTTAATGAAAAGTGTTTCTTTTTCTTAATTATCTTTCTTTTGTTTTATTATTTCTTGTTTATTCTCTTTTAATATAAAACATTTGAAAAACAGAAAGGAATAAAAAACAGAAAGGAATAAAAAACATGAAAATGAGAATGAAGTTGAATAGAAAAAAAAAGAGTAAATTATTTCATGTATTGTGAAATCCATTTAAATCCTTCTGGATATCCTTGTCGATTAACTATTGAACTCATAAAAACTTCAATTGGTCTAATTCCTTCACATGTAACATTTCCTTTTCCTGTGGTATGTGTTAATCCCATAGCTTCTCTTAATTGTGCTTCGGAAACTGCTCCTGGAATATCAATTTTATTTCCTAATATCAAAAATGGTGTGTTTTGTAACATTTCATCATTCAATAATGAATCTAATTCTTTCTTAGACTCTCCAAATCTTTCTGGTGCAGCACAATCAACAATATATATCACCGCATCGACTTCTGTACAATATGTTTTCCATACTTTTCTTGCTGGTGTATGTCCTCCTAAATCATATGTATTAAACTTGATATTCCCCATCACTAACTCTTCCATTGTTGGTTGTTGTGTTGGAATATGTTGTGACACTTTCCCATCTTTTAATAAATGTAATAATGTCGTTTTCCCTGCATTATCTAATCCTAAAAATAACATCTTCCCCGTTTTATATGCTAATCCTAAATCAGCTAATAAATTCCAAAACCATTCCCATATCCACATCTTCTTTCTTCTTTATTTTTGAGTTTCTTTTTTTATATTTATAAAATTTTTGCCATTAATATCAAAAAAAAAATATATTAATATTAACATTTAAAATGAATTGAATAAAAAAATTTTTTCAAATAAATTATAATAAACAATATTCTTATATTAAAAAAATGATATTATATATTTTTTTAATAATTTTATATTAATAAAAAACAAAAAAAAATTAATAAAACATTATTTTTTTAAAAAGAAAGAAAAAAGAATTATTTAAAAAATTGACAGAAATAAAAAAACTCAAAATAAAAAGAAAAGAAAGAAAAAAGAAAAATATGGAATATTTATTTACCCTCAGAGATCTTGGTGAAATAAATCATCAAAAGATAAATCAGACCAAATATTTTCCATCATTGGGTAAATTAATATTCAATAAAATATTGTATTTTAAAGAATAGTCACTCAGAAGTCAACATTAATATCCACATAGATAAATATCAACGATATTCAGAGGATTGGATAAAAAGCTTCATCACAGTGACATAATAATAATAAACGTAGATATTCATTTAAATATTCTAGGGTTTAAATATATCTTAATTTAATTTTATTATTTAATATAATTTATTTAACTTCTTTTTTATAGTTTAGATTTAATAATAAAAAGTTATATTTTTTCGTTTTTTTGAAGAAATGAAAAGGAAAAAGATAAACCCTTTGAACTTGAAATTTGTAAAGGAGAGCTCAAATGGTTTGTTTCTTTCTTCTTTTGTATTTTCTCTTATCTTTTTGTTGTAGTATTTAGTTTATGGTATTTATTTAATAGGCTACTGTTACTTCAGAATCAGAATTCCAACACATGCTCCGTGTTTGTAACACCAATCTTGATGGTCGTAGAAAAGTTCCATATGCTCTCACTGGTATTAAGGGATGTGGAAGAAGATATGCATACCTTGTTTGTAAAAGAGCTGGTATTGATGTCAATAAGAGAGCTGGTCTTATGACACCAGCAGAAATTGAAAAGATTGTTGATATTCTTAACAACCCACTTAACTATAAAATTCCAGTTTGGTTCTTGAACAGACAAAAAGATAATAAAGATGGTAAAGATTCTCAACTTATTGCTAATGCTGTTGAAACTAGACTTAGAGAAGATATTGAAGCTCTTAAGAAAATGAGAGCACATAGAGGTCTTAGACATTATTGGGGATTGAGAGTTAGAGGTCAACATACTAAGACTACTGGAAGAAGAGGAAGAACTGTTGGAGTTTCTAGAACTAAAGGAGCTTAATAAAAGTGAATTTTTTATGTTATTAGTTTTTATTTTTAGTATATTACAAAACTCATCAAAATGTATGAAACACGTCATCAGAACAATTGTCTTAATTTGCTGTATCTAAAAACTTTATTTTATTATTTACAATGAAAACATTTATTTTACTTCTGTTTATTGTTTTAAATATTTATGCTATTACTCCTGAACAAGAAGAAATTATCGATGAGTTGAAAGGGGAACAAAAAAGACAAGTTGATGCCATTGCTGATGAAGAACAACCATCTTCTACTGCTCTTATTCAACAACAACCTGGTCAAAAATCTTATGCTTCATATTTTAATAAAATGATGAAAGTTACTAAAGAAAAGGGTAGACATAATAAGCAAAAACATCCAGTAAGAGTACAATCAATATATTCTAAGCCTATTAAAAAAAGTATGAAAAAAGTTGGACATGTTAGTGATGAACTTAATGGTAATTTCTTTGGTAGAAATGGATATAACTATGAGCATACACGAAAGGTTAATAAAGGAAATATGAGAAGTTATAGCAAAAGTTCAGTAATGTATTACACATCATCTCCAGAAGATAAAAAGAATTTTGGTCAACTTCCAGGATTTTTTAAAAATAAGGAAGGAGATATGTGGTTTTAAATAAATTGTCTTAATTTGACTTATTTTTTATTTAATTTTTTTATTAAAACTAAAAAAATTCATATTATGTTAAATCAGATGAAAAGTCTAATTCCTTTATTTCTTTTTATTTCTTTTTCTATTGGTTCAATTTTACCAGAAAGAAGACGATTAGTTAAGCAGTTACTTAATGGTTATAATAACCAAATTGATTCTCAAATTAAACAAAATAAACAATTAATGAACACTTTGTCTGAAGGTGCTTTAAAAGGTGATCCATATCCTTTATACTTAAAACATGTATTTAATGTTGAACAACAAAGAATAAATAGGTTAGCTATGTATCTTAAAACAAGAAAATCTTCTCCATTTAATTATTTAAAAATTAATCATACTCCAATTCGTGATAAACCTTCAACAGATCCAATAAATAAAATTTGTGACTATTACAATGGTGAATATAATGGACCTAATGGTTATTTATACAAACATAAACGGGCTATTCAAAAAGCTGCTTTAAAAGGATTTAGTATCAATGTACCTTCAATTAAAAATTATGAAGGACGATTTGAAACACCTTCATTGATTCAAAAAAATCCTGCAAATGATGGATATTAATTGCTGTTAATTTTTGTTTGATATATTTTTTTATTAAAGAATATTTTATTATAATTAAAAAGGAGTTTAATTATTTTTTTCTTGGGTTGTTAATTCTTGTTCGTTTGAAGGTTCTTGATTATTTGATACTGGAATAACTTCAGTCTCTTCTTCTATTTTCTTTTGTATTTGATAAGGTTCAGACGTATTATTAAAAGAAGTTGATTGTTCCATAGTACTGTTAATTTGGCATTCTTTTATATCACGTTTTTCTTGATATTCTTCATTAGATTCATTATCCATTGAGACTTTCTTTTCAATTAAACCAATTAATGATTTGTATCTTGATTCAACAAAAGCTATTTGTTCTTGTTCTGTTTTTATACCAAATTTTATCATACTATTTTGAAGAACAGGATTCTTAATCCATACTTTAGGACATTCTAAACCAATTCTTTTAATTTCTTCTAATAATATTAAATCACAAGTACTATCCCATGGATTTTGTTTATCTTCTTCATAAATTTCTTCCATTTTATTTTGCATATTAATAACTATTTCAAAAATCTTTCTATATATCAAGTCATTTGTTTTAATTTTTTCACTAACGTCGCTCATTGTCAATTCTTTTATTATTTGTTCAGAATATAATTCAACATCTATTGTATATTTATTAAATATTATCATATTCTCTTCATCAATTTTCATTCCAAATCTAAGTAAATAACAAATAATTGTTTTACTTATTTTATCTGTTTCATTGTCATCAAATTTTTCTTTTAATTTTTCTTGTATTTTTTTCATTAATTGTTTTGTTTCTTCATCTAATACAAATGAAACATTTTCTTCTTTTAATTCATTTAATTTTTTTACTTTTACTTCATTTAAAAATGTTTCAATTCTTCTTTTTCTTTCTTCTTTATTTGTATCTTTTATATCAATATCATCAACTCTTCTTTTTTTTCTTTCAACCTTCTTAGTTTTATTTTCTTTATTTTTCCTTTCTTCTATACTTTTCATTTCTTTTTCTTTTGCTTCATTAAATTCTTTAATTTCTTCTTCAGTTCCTAATTTAATTATTTTTGTCTTTTCTGTTGTTGAAATAATTTCATTAATTAATTGGTCTACAGTTATCATTGTTGTAGATAATATTGAAAAATATTGTTCTTTAGTTATAATTGATGAAGCTCTTGAAGCAACTGCAATAGTTTCATCTATAGTACCAGTAATAACAAAATATAACACCTTAACATTTTTTGTTGTTCCAACTCTCATTTTTTGTTTAATCTCTTCAATTTTATCTTCTGTATAATCACTGTCTAATAAAACAACATAATCTGATCCAGAAAGGTCAACTCCTTGAGAATTACAATTTGTATCAACCAATATTTTAGTAGATTCATTTTTATTAAATTCTTCACACATACGTTTACTTTGACTTATTTCATTATCCCATCCAATTAATTCACATTTAATTAATGGTTTTAAAGCTTCAAGTAATTGAGGAATTGGACTTAATATTGCTACTTTTTTCTTTACTTCAACAAGGAAATTAACTATCTTTTGAACATGAGTCATTTTAACCCCTTTAATACCAATAGAATAAGAAGATATACTTGGAAATAATAATACTCTTCTCATATCCTCTATTGAAACATCTTCACATCCTTTAACTTCTTCTTCTGTTTGAAGGTATGCAGCAGTTTGTTTTTGTTGCATTTTTATTAAAACAAAAATACTACTAATTTTTGGTTCTTCATATTGTGGTATTTCAATTATTTTAATGTCTCCTTTTCCTTTAATTTTCATTAAGAATTTAATTTTATTATAAACTTTTTCATCATCAGTTATTCCAATAACACGATCACATAAACTAATTCTAGTACTTTTAATACTTACATGATTTGGTTCTTGAATATCAATTATTCCATACTTAAAATGAGCAGTTCTTTTAAATATAAATGACTTGCATGAAAATACAACAATTTGTGGTTTAATATTACTATTTTCATCATATAGTTCCATATCAATTACTGACTTTACATTTTCATCACGTGGAAAATGATCAATAAAAGTTAATGGAACACCAGGAAATAGATAGGGTAATTGATTTTTATAATAATCCATTCTCTTTTCGGTACACATAATCAGACATGATACCCCATTCTCTGACTGACACATTTGTTCTGATATAAATGCTAGTACACTTGTTCTTTTACCAAATCCTCCAGAAATAATAATATCATTATTTTCATCAATACATTTTTTTATTTCATCTATAGTTTTTTGTTGATATTCATTTAATTCTAATGGAAATGGTTCACGTTCAAATCTCCATCTTTGGAGTAAACTTTTATTTCTTTCTTTTTCAAAAAATGAACTTAATTCATCACTAAGAAATAATTCTTTTCCTAGCCATTTAACTCTGTACATAAGAATTGGTAATCCATTTTCATCTTTTTGAGGTAATTCTAATATAATTTTTTCTGGTACTAAATCATTAGCTGGTACTGACTCTTCTGTTAATGGAAATACTTCTTTTAATATATGTTCTGTTTTTACTACAGAGTCTGTTTGTGGTAAAGTCCATCTCTTATTAAATTTCTCAATAAGTCCACGTTTATCAATTTTTTTAGTTACTTCTGACTCAAGAATCCATGTAGATTCTACAATTGAAAAATTTTGCCATTTAACAAGGTACATTGGCTGTTCTGGATAATTTTTAAAGAACAACTCTTTTGATGGTACAAAATATTTAAATGTTTTTTGTAATGAAACAACCGACGACCCTGGAACATATTTTGTTAATACTCTTTGAATTTGGGTAGAACTTTCTTCTTCATTCTCATTTCTTTCTGTCTTTTTCTTTTGGGTTTTATTTCTTCTTTCTTTTTTTATAGTTTTAGGTTTAGGAGTTTCAGTTGTTTTATTTGACTCTTTTACTTGTTTTGTATTATCTTCATCATTCATTATAAACTTTTCAATAAGATGTTCTGTTTGTTCATCTTTTGGGTGGAGCGTTTTCTTTAAAATGATGTATTCATACTTAGTGCCATCTTTTTCAACTGTTCGAGTATCAATGATTAACTTCTCAATCCTGTCCATTCTATTGATAATAAGATTTGAATCTTTCTTTATCTCTTTTCCTCTTTTCTTTGTAAAAATTGGAAAACCCTTTTTTTATTTTCAAACCAAAAATCAAAAAAAAAAAAAAAAATTTATTGGTTTAGTCGTCAAGAAAATCATTCACAAATTTTAATAAAGCTCCAATAAATTTCCCTACTACTCTCACAGTTTTTTCAACAAAGTTCATTGGAGTTGCTTTATAGTCTTGTGTTTTACATATACTCTTTTGAATCTTTTTAATTAATTTTCTATTTTCTAAAATATCAACATGTCCAGCTCCTTCAATTTCTAAAATATCAGCTCCCATTTCTTTACATAACTTAAGACTTTCTTTTTGAACTGTTCCATCTCCTTCTTTATTAGTTTCAATTTTTAATAACGTAAAATTAGATGAATAAACTAATTGACTCTCTGTTTTCTTTTCACTTCCAAAAACACATAAATGTTCCCAATGTTTTGTCTTCTTTTTATAATCAACTTCTGTTGCTTCAATAAGCTTCTCAGCAAATGATGGTAGAATAGAACCTGATAATTTTTTAATTAACTTTTTGGTTGCAGTAGCATTGTATTTAGTACCATTAATTTTTAAAACCTTTTTATTGAAATTTAATGAACTTGGAATCATACCATATGAAGACTCAAATGATCTAATAGCTTTAAGGAAAAAGTCACTTGGTAAAATAATTTCTGGAAGATCAAGACTATCACCTGAAAGTAATGCCCTAACTGCTTTAATTGATCCAGCCCATGGTGTGGATATTGTAATAACCTTAGATATATATGTATCAATCCACTTTTGTGGCATACTTTCTAAGAAGTTATGAATAATCAAACCACCCATAGAATGTCCAATTAATACTACTTTATTCTCACTATTTTTCACTGTAGACTCAATTCGGTTAACCAAATCCTTTTTCCAAGAGTCTGGTTGAGAAATAAATCTCCAATCAAATGCAGCAGCTTGAAGGTCTTCAGTATCAATATATCCCATCATTTCTAAATTATCAACAATATCGGCATAGACTCGAACTAATTGTGAAAACAATGAATCTTTTGGTGTAAGAAATGCAACTCCACTAACTGAAGTATTAGCTGGATAATAAGTATTAACACCTTTCATATTTTCCATTGTTTGTGTTTTATTGTTATAATTTAAAGTTAAGTATTCAGGAATACAATCTCTAGTAAGTGGGTTAAGAAGGTCTGAAGAAATCCAAAGTGGTATATCAGATACATGTCTTGGACAATATTCAGGAAGTTTTTCAGTAGCAGGAATATTTAAATTTGCATTTATTGTACTTCCAAGCATTCCATTAAATAAAAATACTGGTCTTCTTTGGTCACAGTATTTAACTTTTTTTCGTTCGTGTTTACTTAAAGCCACAGTAAATAGTGAAATGAGAAGTAATAAAAATTTCATCAAATAAAATTATAAAAATCTAGATTATATATATTGTTTTTCTATTGTCAAAAACCCGACAAATGACAGATACAAGACAATTTCTTTTTTTTTTATTTAATTTTGTTTTATTAATTTTTTCTTGTTCTAAAAAAATTACATGACTTATAAATTAAAAAATAAAAAAGCAATTAATTAAGTATTAATAGAATTAGCTTCTATTCTTCCTGGCTCAGGGGAGACTAATCCCGTCCCTTCGTCTTCTTCTTCAAGCAACTCTACGGAGTATGTTTGGTTGTGATTGAAGCAGTATTCCATGACATCCATCATGTTTTTTATGACAAGGTTTTTTACTTCTTTCTCGATGTCAATGTCAATTTTTAATTCTTTAATTAATTTATTACTTTATTTATTTATTAATCCATTTATTGAGATTACTACTGGAATTATTTTGTCATCTTTTAACTTTTCTATTTTCATTAGAATATTCTTTAATTCCTTATACTTATTTCTTTTCTTCAAATAGGCTCCATTAATATTGTGATATTCAACAATAGTCATATCAAATAATAGATCAGTTTTGTTCTTTTTATCTAATACATATATGTCTGGTATTTTGTGATCTTTTCCATCATTTTTATGTATTATTTGTTTGTTCAATATCATAGTGATGTCTTTATATTGGAACATTGTTTCATATTGTATTTTTATATTGTTTATTTCCAGTGTATTTTCTTATTAGTCAATATGATAATGCCTACAAAATAATGAAAAAACAAAACATAAAAAAATTTAACAAAAATAAAATTGTTTTTCATTCAAGATTGTTATTTATCACTTTTTCTTATTTAATTCTGAACCATCATTGTATCTTCTTCTCTTAAATATTCTCCTAAATCTCCTTGATTATAACAGACAATCCCTGTTGCACTTAATCGAGAATATTCAACTGAAGAACATGCTGTTGTTCCAAAGCCAATTGCAATATCATTTTCATTAAACATAACACATCCTATGTTTCTTGCCATGTTGTCTGTTATTTTACTTATTCCGTTTTTGACTAAATGATTTCCATATAAAAATGATGTTTCTGCTTCTGGTTTTACCCATATTTTACATGAACAATATTGTGCTAAATATGGTAATGCAGTTATTTGAAGTTTAAATTTCCCTGTTTTAGTGAATTTCCCAAAACATGTGCCAAGTGATAATAAATTCTCTCTTCCAATTGTGGTAGCTTGTTCTGCAATACTAAGTCTCACATAATAAACTCTATCCTTTTGTAATCTAAAACAATACTCTTCATTTTCGTTGTCTATTAAAAATCGAATGTTTCTGCCAATGTACTTCGCTAGTTTCTCAAAAAATGATTTTGTTTCTTCATCAGTTAAAGGTCTCATTCCTCACTTCTCTCTTTTGCTTTTCAGTTGTTTTTATTTCTGTTGTTTTTTTAAAGGGTTTTTTCTTCCATTTCTTCTTTCTATTTCTTGTTTTTTCTTTTTTTGTAATTTATCCCACAATTTTCTTTTTTGTCTTTCTTTTCATCTCATTTCTTGTGGTATATCCGATGATGAACATTCTAACCATTTGTTTGCATTAAACTCTACATCACTAATACTCTTTATTGAAGAAGTTCAAATACTCACTTCTCAATTTGAAGTAAATCTAATTGTGGATATATTTGTTTTTAGACTTTTTTCTTTTCATCCACTTATCTATTTTCTTTCATAAATTACACACCATATTAACTTTTATAGGTGTTAATGTATATATCAAATAAATAATTTGTTCTATTATAGTTTCTTACTTCTTATATAATAAGTTATTTCAGATAATTTGTTTTACATAGTCAGTGATGTAGTTTTTTTATTTATCATTCTTTCTGTTTGTTTTTGAGGTGGTTTATGGTAAGCAAGAAAGTTCTCATTCTTTATTGAAAAGTGAGGTGTTGTGGTTATGTTTGAATGGTTCATTATTTCTTTGGTGATTCAATGAATAAAACCTTTAACAATTATTTTGTTCAAGTTCAGTGTTAATTAGAAATAATTGGACGGAGTATTTAATCACAACAAAGATTGTTATTTTGGTGATAACACTTAATTTGATAATTCCTGTGATTAAAAACGTAATTTTATCAACTAGTTATTTTTAATGTTCTTCTTCTTTTTAATGATTTGTAAACATACAACTTTTCAAATTATGTTATTCAAACATTTTATGAAATAAATAAAAGAAAAATAAGTATATTAAGTGTTAATAGATTTTTCATATATTCTTCTTTGCTAAGTGAAGATTAATCCCATTCATGAGTTTGTTTAAAAAAGAGTAATCTTTTTGTTTAATTGACCATTTAACTTTTTCTAGGAATATGAGAAAAATATTTCTTTGTTTTATTTTTTCCTATTAATGTCTTCTCAAACTTCTTCTGCTTAATTCTTCTTTTTAACCTTTTGTTTATTTTCTGTCTTAATTTTAAACATTTTCTTTTTCTTTTTTTCTTTATTTTATGAAAGAAAGAAGAGACTATTTCATTCTCACTATATTACTTTGACTCATTTTCTTTTAGTCTTACCCACACTTTAGTACTTCCTTATATTACACCATGTAATATTTCATCATAATACCTCAATACATTTTTTGTAGCATTCCCTAATACATTTCTAATTCAAATACACCGTCATAACCAGAAAATAACTGGAAGAGTCGATGCTTGAATTTGTACTAGGGTTTGTGTGGTGTTTTAGACATGCCACCTTCTATTTTTTTCCTTCTATGAAAGAAATTGTAATAAATGAATAAAAATAGGAATTGAAATAAATAATTTGTTGTTGAAATAAAGTTTTCTTCTATAAATAACCAAAAAAGATAAGAACTAGAAAAGAATATGAGAACGATAAAACCTAAAATAAAATTATATTGAAATAGAAAAAGAATTAAAAAAAGATTACTATAATTAAAACGATACATATAAAAACGACTAAAACTTAACAAAAATCATTTAAATGTCTGTCAACCAAAAAACAATTAAATCTGCTTTATCTACAAGTGAATCAGCTAATAAGAAGAGAAAATCGGTAAGTATAGAAATTAAAGAGGAGAGCTTTATTATTGGATGTGCAATAAAGGTTGGCATTCATTTATTGTTAGAAAGAAAAACAAAGAAAAGTGAAAGTCTTCAAAAATTTAATATTATTGATATTTCTGTTCCTAAAGAAGCTCTTTTAGATGAAAATATTAATAAAGAACTTCAAAAATTGTTCATGGTACAACAAGAAAAAAAGGAGGGATTAGTTCAAAGAGATTTAGACAAGTCAAAACAAAACAGTATTTATAACTTTTTACTTGAAGTATTAAGTAATTATGGAAACCAAATTAATTATATGAAAACAAGAGGTAGTTCTAACACAGTTAAAAGGGAAAGAATATCAACATTTAATGGATTAAATCAAAAAGAAATATATGAAATTGGGGAAAAGGTTAATGAATATCTTATTAAAGAAATTCCAATTGAAGAAGGTAAAAAGAAAAAGGAATGTAGAAAACTAATTAAGGAGATTGATTTAAATATTTCTCTACCATTATATACAGTAAATGCATGTTGCTCTGAAAGTCATTATGGTAATGAACAATTAAATTATTTGGAACAAACACCAATAGTACAAACACCTGTTCTTTGTTATTATGATGGTAATAATTTATATTTACCAAATGGTGTTTCTTTAAATTTACCAAATACTAATTATGTATATGTACCAAATACTAATTATGTATGCGTGCCAAATGATAATTATGTATACGTACCAAATGGTAGTGATTATATGGGATATGTTTCAATAAATTCAACGGATTCCAATATACCTGAACAATCAAATTATATTAGTGTTAATCAATTAAGTACAAAATTGGAATAGTGTAAGAGGAGGATAACATGACCAGAATAAGAAATTTGATAATATTTACTTTTCTTAGATTGTCTATAAAAACAATTATCTCAACATTCTTTTTAAGAAGTTTATTAAAACGAAAAGAATGATGAAGTAAATGTTTATATATAAATAGTCTAAGTATAACAAAGATAATTAAAATTCTTATTCATTATTCTTGTTTTAGTTTTACTAATATTTCAAAATACAATGATAAAGGAATAAATAATATTTTATTTTTCATCTTATTTTTTACTTTCTTTTGAAATATTAATGATTCATATGTTTTTATATTGTTTTTATGAGTATATGATATAATAGAAAGAAAAGAATGAATGAAGAAGATATTAAAATGATAGAAATTCTTATTTAAATTGATTTTACAAAGAAATATCAAAACTTACAAAGAATATATTGTTGTAATAGTTATATTAATTGATATACATTCAAAAACAGTAGAATAAGAAATAACAAGAAAAAAAAAATCAATGAATAAGTAAAATACAAGAAAGAAATAATATAAAAAGAAATAAAATAAACCATGAAGAAAAAACAATAAATATAAAACTTAATTGAGATAAATTCTGATTAAAAAAAAATTTTTTAAGTATAATTCTTATTTAACTCAAAACCAAATAAATTGATTTGGTTTATGAATTAAACTATTTGAATATGTTTTGTTATTATTATAATTTTTATATTTTCTGTGGTGTATCTTGTAAATGTATTTTTTTTTTGAAAAATAGTAGAAAAGAAAGAAAATAATTTCTATTCATATTTGGTTTGTTAATTTATTATACGTTTCTATTTTCCATCCCCAAAGCATATTTCCTATTGTAATAAACTCTTTCTTTTCTTCTGTATTCCAATGATTAGCATATCTAAGTGTTGAGTAATAAGTCTTTACTTAACTAAACTAGTCAATAAAAAATTAAAAACAAACGCTAAGATAAAGGAAAGAGCATGTGGAGGAAGTTCTTCCCATGGCTCTTCAAATAAAGGAAATGAGTCATGTTCTTTTGTAAAAGAAGAAAGAAAAGAAACAAGAGATGCAACTTTAGCAGGATTCCAATTTCCAGTAATACCAGTCACAAATGCCCTAAACATTGGTTCTTCAGTTCTCATTCTCCATCGTTCCATTGCATCTAAAATTGTTCGAATAACTTCGTTAAATGAAATTTTATTATTTTCAATGATATAGTTATAGATAGCAGCAAGTCTTACTCCAGCTTGTGTGTTTCTTCCAAGAACCATTATAATATCATCACTATTTTCACTTTCACCTCCAAAAGCAGTTAGAACGGCACCTTGAGTTCCACCAAAAATAATATTAAGGTCAGAAAGTAATTTGTACATAGTTCCAGATTCAGTTTTCATAATAGATTTTCTTCTTTTCATTTTATCTTGTATTTGAACTTCTTCTTGTCTAACAAGATGTCTACAGAAATAATTCCAAACAAAGTTAGCAATCTCATCATCACTCCAAGTAGTAATACATTCTAAAAGAATATTATAAAAATATCTCTCACATGTATCTTTTCCAACATTATTCATAATTTGAATTAATTCTGTTGGTGGAACTTGTCTTTCATTTAAATGTTTACAAACATTAATTTCATTCTTAACTTCAGGCCATGACTTACCACAAAAAGGAGTTGAAACAAGTTCTGCTTCTTTCTTTCTTTGTTCCTCAACTTTCTGAAGAGTTTTTATATGACTGTTAATTGAATCAACCCAAGCAGCACCCATGTCAGGAGTGTCAGCAATAATTTCTTGATTTCTATGAACACTACAAATAACAATATTCATGAATGTGTCATCAATTATTTTAGCTTGAGATTTTGAATTTAACTCAATAACTCCTTTTGGAGTAGAAGTTGGATTAGCACTACTAAAATAATAAATAAATTCATTTTTGATAATAAAATATCTTTTTTTCCATGTATGGAAGTCATACCCCTTTTTCTTTAACCAACCTTCACGAACACCAGGTTGAAGGTCTTTTAAATGAGTCTTCTTGAAATTATTAAAATTTGGATGGTTACTCATTGAAGTAACTCAAAAATAAAAAAAACACAATTATGAGTTCAGTCCAGTGGTTAGAAAAAAACGGAAAGGAAAAATGGACAAAAGAATTATTTGATCAATATGTTGGTACTGAACATGGAAAATGGTGTGGTGTTATTGAAAGAATTATGGTTGGAAATAATTGGGCTTATAAAGTTAAAACAATGCAATTAATAAAAAACAATATTGAAAATGTAAATGATGAAAAATTAGCAATTACACTTTATCATTTTGTTGTAGGTGCTATTTTAGATCATTGTGACCAAGTAGTTAAAGAAGCAATTTTGTTATATAAGTATATGTTACATTATTTAATATTTAGAAAAGTTAGTAATGACACAATTAAATTAATTTTAATTGAAATTGTTGTGAGTGAATGGAAAGAATTAAGATTTGATTGTTATGATGTTTTTTGCTTAGACTCATTAGATGATAGAATGATTTTATCATTATTTACTGTTTGTTATTTTAAACATAAAGTTTATTGATAAAACTTCTCATTCATTCTTCTTAGCAATTTGTAACTATTTATCCACTAACAGACCAAATAGAAAAAGAACGTCTTATTAAAACTATAATTTTATTACCACAACATTGTAGAGGATCTTTTCAATGTTTTGATAATGAATTCTCAAATAAACCATTTGAACAATTTACTTCTTACAAAGAAGTTTTTGCCTCTTTGTTCCTTATGAATTATTCATCTTCTCTTGCTAATTCTTTTATTTCTAAATCCTTACAATACCAATTAAATTCTCTTTCTCCAGAATTATGTCCATTACAAACTATACAAAGAGAGTTAACAAATTTACCACCTACAACAGTATTAGTAAAGTATATAGATTCAATTTCATCAAGTTAATCTCTTTATATCTTTATTTTTTGTTTTTTCTTTCAAAAAAAAAAATTTGAACTGAAAATATGTGTTTTATGACATCTATTGTGAAACAAGCACCTCATCTTTCTTTTAAATTAGTTAAATTTACAACTGTTTTAGAAGAGTATTGGTCAGTAGTTGTTTTTCATGTTGTTGTAGAGTCTTCTAATGGAAGTTATACTTTATATAGAACTTCTGAACAATTAATAACTATTCTCTGTTCTGTTTGTTTTTTGTAGTTTTTTATTCGATAAAAAATATTAATATTGCATATGTTAATACTAACATTTTTTTTAGTGTATAAAAGGGATTGAATCTTTACCAATGGATAAAGACATTGAATGGTTGAAAAATACTGAGCCTTTATTTTATACTAAGAGATATCTTTTAATTTTTAATAAATGTATTGAAAAATTATTAGAAAATCCAGAATTTATGAAAGAGTTAAAGAAACAAAAGTTATTAAGAAAGGATTTTCTTCCTCCTTTAAATTCACTTAAATTTACTAAAAAAGGAAAAGTTCTATTTCATAGAAATAATGATCCGGAAGATTTGATGATTGATGCAACTTTAATGTTATGTACATCTCAATTACCATATCTTTATGTGTATATCACTAATAACCCTGTTAGTATCCCTTATATAGCCATACAACTACCTCCAATTTTAGTTCAATTATCTCAACAATCAAATGGTGCTTTTATAATTCAAACACCTACACAATCATATGTTTTTTATGTTTCAATGGTAGATGAAGCTAATAAATGGGTTCATGCAATTAATAAAAGTACAATCAAAACAATGATTTGTCCAAAAGGACTATTAGCACTTGTAAATTCTCCTCGTTCATCTCCTAAATCAAATAGAACACCAAAGAAGAATATAACTTCAAAAGAAACAAATGGTATCTTATTATTAACATCATATAACAATGAAACAAATTCATTACAAAAGAAAATATTAAAAGACCAATTAAGATTAATGGCTACAATCAATATCACTGGACTTATTCAGACATTAAATGAACGACATATTATAATGAAAATTGGTCAACTAAAGCATGTATTAAGTTTAGTATTATTTGGTACAGAAATATCAACATTAGAAAATGTTATTGGTGAAATTGGATTCTTTTCAGAATCAGGTCTTGTTAATGAAACAATTGATATCAACGAATTACATGGAAGTGTTATTTTTGCTTTAAAAGAAGATTCAAAAATCCCAAATTTACATGGATATTCAAGAAATTTAGATGGTAAAGAAAAAAGTCATATCCTTCTTGCTATTAACAGAATGTCTTCTTCTCAAAATGAAAACAAATGTAATATAGAATATCCATTATTTCCAGGAGAAAATATCATAAGTATCATTCCTGAAACAATTCATCTTCATTTTAATCAAACAAAGAGTAGTGTACAACCAATCTTTGGTACAGTTATTGTGACTACAGCTCGTTTTATATTTAAACATCAAAAACAATTGTTAGAAATAGACAAATCAAAAGATCTTCTTAGAACTTCTGAACATTGTTCTGGTACATTTCATGTTCCAGTTCCATCTATTAAAAAAATTAAAGTAAGATGTATTGAACTAGAGTCAATAAAAAAATTTTACACTCTATTGATTATTACAAAGTATTTTAATTATTTCTATATTGGTTATTTCACGGATGAAGCTCAAGCATTAAAGTTACAAGAAACATTATTATGTCTAATAGAAAAGAATGCACAGATAGAATTATTTTCTATGGGTGGATCAATAGAAGATCGAATGAAATTGATTAGAGAAGATTTTACAAGACTTAATATTGAAAAATACTCTGCATTAAAAGTATGGACTCAACAACTTTGTCCAACATATCCTCCTTGTGTTGTTATACCTTCAATATTTAATGAAGAAGAACTACAACAATGTGTACAATTTAGGAGCAAAGGAAGAATTCCTATTGTTTCTTGGATATCTGAAGGAAATGGATTATTAGTTAGAAGTAGTCAACCTGCAACAGGTATTACTTCTTCTCGAAGTAAAGTTGATGAACAAATGTTAACTGAATATGCTATGATGAGCCGAACACATTCAATCAAAGTTTATGATGCACGACCAAAGTTAAATGCTAATGTAAATAGAGTAAAAGGAATGGGAAGTGAAAATATGAAGAATTATGGTAATGCTACAATAACATTTCTAAATATTGATAATATCCATAAAATGAGAGATGCTGAAGATGGGTTATTTACTATAATCGAATCACCTTTAAATGAAGAAAATAAGAATATATGGTTAAAACATATTAAAAAAATTATTAAAGGTGTTTGTGAACTTTGTAGTAGTATTATTAATGGTAATAGTGTTCTTGTTCATTGTTCAGATGGTTGGGATAGAACAAGTCAATTAACGTCATTAACAATGATTATAATGGATCCTTATTATCGTACTTTTAAGGGATTTGAAACAATAATAGAAAAAGAATGGAGTTTAAGTGGTCATAAGTTTAGTGATAGATGTAGACACTTAAATGGATCACAAAGTATTTCTGAAACTTCACCTATATTTTTACAGTTTATCGATAGTGTTTATCAACTATATTCATTATTTCCAAGTGAATTTGAATTTAATGAAGTTTTCTTAAAAGAATTACTCTTTCAGTTATACTCTTGTTATTTTTGTAACTTCCGTTTTAATTGTTGGAATGAATTTAATTCTTTTGGGAATCGAGTGATGAATTTTTATTCTTTCCTTGATTATGAAGAAGAAATTTTATTTAGTTTTAGTAATGAGCTATTTAATCCACAATTGAAAGTACTACCATTAGATGTCATTAAACAAAAACAACCCATATTTTGGTATAATTATTATGGGAGTTATTCAACAACCCATAACTACATGTAATTTTGATTATTGTTTTGATTTGGGTTATTTTCTAAATAAAAAAGTCAAAAATAATTGGTTCCAAAAAAAAAGGAAAAAACCTACTAAAGGGTAGATTAGAAGCAGGTTTTTCATTTTTTTTCATACTCTTCTTCAAAACTAATTAAATTACTTTATAATGATTGGATTTGAATTACGTGAAGTTCACCATACATTATTATGTAAAATGGTTAGTATAACAACTTGTATTGCATTGATTATTTCTTTATATATATTCTTTTTTCAATTTACATTTGCTTTAGATAAAGACTTAATCAATAATACAACTGTTTGTAAATATTTTTTAAATATTGAAACAAACATTTATTTTATTAGCTTTCTCTTCACAAAAATAATATACAACATCCTGAAGGGACATGTCAGTCTGATCCGTATAAACATTACACCCCATTCTCATTAACTTTAGAAACAGAAGATGAAAGTTATTCTTTTTGGTGTTCTCCTTATATTCATTACCAAGTATTTGTATTGTGTTTTGGTTGGTTATTAAATTCAGGATTTATTGCATTTTGTTATATGTATACTATTGTATTTCATTACAATACAAATAAACAACTATTTATTTCTTCAATATATTGTGGCTTTCTCGGAGCATGTGGTATTTATGATATTGTTAACTGGACACGAATACAGAAATTCTGTACAGAAATTGTACCAAATATAACATATGGACAACCTTTAAAATCATTTACATGTCAAAGTACTTCATATCTTGTTTTTGCAATATCTGAATTAGTGTGTTCTATAATGATTATCTTAAATTATATTGTATTATCATATTTTTATAATAAATATTCTAAACAAAATGTTTTCTCTTTTACTTCTACTGTTGTTATTAATGATGAGGCTCCAATAGGAAGTCCAATAATCAATGATAAGCAATAATTGAGCATTTTTTATATTTTTATTAATTTTATTATTTATGATTTATAAAACAAATATCAAAAGAAATAAAAATTAAGGAATTGTGGATGAGGTATGTACCATTGCTTTTATTTAACAAAATTTGTTTAACCAATACAACCCTTCTGCTAGAGAAGAAGTTTGAGATTGTGAAGCAGAAGAGACATAATCATCTCCAAAAGGTAAACAAGCAGTTCTTTCAAATGGAATAGGATTAATAGTTCGTTGGGGGTATGAACAATCTTCTCGTTGCATATAATCGTCAATAATGATAATCTCATCAGCAAATGAAGTAGAAGTGGAATCAATTGATATTTGTGCTTTTGCTATTGGCTGCATTATTGCTTGTGGGTGTGATAGTGACATATTCATTGAATTGATAGATTGAGATAAGTCGAATCTTTTTATTCCGGCGGAGTTTTCATGAAAGAATTTTCTCCATTCTGTTTTAAAATGGATTTAAATGTAGAATTTCTCTTTGATTCGAATTATTCTTTTCGGAGTTTTTTTTTTTTAATTTTTTTAAACTCATCATTTGTGACTCTTTTTTTTAGTAGTTAATTCTATTATTTTAAAAGATAAATTATGTATGTTTTTCAATAGAAGATTCTACTATTTTATCTTTATTACTTTTTATGAGAAAGTTTATGAGAGTGTCATTAATGAAAAAGATCAATCTAAGTACAGCTCATAAAGTTTAAGTGCAAGAGTGCCACTTGTTAATTTTGAGACACATCAAAATAATCCTTTTTTTTATTAAGAAGATTATTTTGGTGGATTATTCTAACAATACAAACGAGTCGAATGATTTTTTTAGGGAGAAGGAAAAAGAAAGAAGTATGTTTTATATGACATAATGAATTTATTTAATCGAATATAAAGGAAATTTAAAAATAAATATTTGATGTTTAATTACAAATAAGAAACATAATAATATATTTCTTGTAAAATTAAAATTGGTAGTAGGACAGAAAGAGTGAAAAATAATGAAATGGATTTATTTTTGTTAGATGAATTAGTAAAGAATGTAAAGAAGAAGGAATCAAATTTTTAATAAGTTATGAGTCAAAAAGAAGTGTATATTAACAATTTTAATATAAACTCAATGAATAAGTCAAGAGCGTATTTGTTTTTAAAAAAAAAAGTTTGAGACGAATCAAACTAACTTAAATACAGTCATTATCTTAAAATTCATAATATAAATTTTTTTTTTAATTAAAATGAAAGATTATTTTTTTAAAGTCATTGTAAATAATATTAGAGTAAACAAGAAAATTGATGGATGTTTTAAATGAATTTCAATGGTCATAAGTTTATTAATAATTTGTTAATATATTGAAGTGATAAAGAAATAACATTGGATCAAAAATAAAGAAGATTTAAAGAGAATTTGAACAGAGTTATTTAATGATGATGTAAACAAAATATAATGGAATAATAAAAAAATTAAATATAACACATTCAATTATTTTGAACGATTGATTATTTCATGTATAATCTTGAAATGTCCTTTGCATCTAGTTTCAATAAAAGTACTAATACAGTTTTGATGAAGATATTGATTACAATTAATACATTGACAACAAGTTTGTTCAATATTTTTTTGACAAACACAACACTTTTTATTTGTATCAATTGATACAATAATAAAAGAATGACCTATTGGTGAATGTTCAATATAATTGTTATGAAATTTATATTCTATTTTTATTAGTCTTTCATCAGTAATTGAAAAGTCATTAAATGGACCAATGTCTATAATTCCAATATCTCCATTACCATCTTTTTCTAACCACAAATTCCAATAAATTTTTTCATGATAATTTCTTTTAACTAACTTTGCCCATTTAGAAGTAATAAAATATTTATTTGATATTGAACAAACTAATGAAATAGTATCTAAATTAAATAATAAAATTTGTGATGAATTAAATACAACAATTATATATTTTGGTATTGAAGCAATAAAAACAACACTTCCATAAGTTAATGGATATTTATATTCTTCTATTATTATTCCATTCTCTCCATTAAATATTTTAATATCACCATCATTATTTGCAACCCATAGAGTTTGATTTTCTTCTATATAACTAAAACAAGTAATTTTTGATTGATTATATAATTTAATAGTTTGTATTAATGAACCATTTGTCATAGAAACAAATCCAATGTCACAATTATTTTCATACAATACATAAATAGCTTCTTCATTCCCAGTAATTTGAATAATTGATGGTATTTTTTGTGATGCATCAAGTTTTTTTGGTATAACAAATAATTCTCCTTTCTTTTTTAATGTTGGGATTTCAAACATTTCAATCATTCCATTTTGTTCTCCAATGATAATATTATTATTAAGAATCATTAAACAATTTATTTCTTTTCTTTTAATCATTTGAATTATTTTTTTAGTTTCTACATCAATTGTTAATAAAGAAGTATTAGATGCAATTATATTATATTTATCATATGATTCTATTTGTTTTACAGTATTAAATGGAAGATTTAATTTAATGACTGATGATTGTAATGTGTTAACATTAATTTCTGTTAATGTTCCATCATATTCTAATAACCAAATAACATTTTTGATTTCATTGAAACAACCTATTATAACAGTGTTATTTGTTTTGGTTTGTTTTTTAATAAGACTAAATAGTGATGGTGTTTGTATTGGATGTTCAAGTTTAGAAGGAATAAATAAATCATAGTTACTAATTAAACATTCAAAAGAATCATTTTCTACTGATGCAAAATCAACTGATTGTTTTGGTGGTAAAAAACATTGACAAATGGCAGTTGAGAGATTTGACTCACCCATTCTATTTAGTCTTTGATTAACAGCAATAATATTCATTAAAAATAAATATCTAGATAAAGTATTTCTATGTTCACTGTTTAATGATCCAATAAAAAATTTGATTTGTTTTCTTTGTTCATTAATTCCTTTCTTTTTTGATATATCAGAAAAGAGTTTATAAGATTCTCCATTAATAAATCTTGGATTCATTTCCATTAATAAACTTTTTAATAATCCACAAATAGTTCCAACTGGATATTCTGTTAATTTTAATTCATTTCTAAAATCAGAATCATTTAATTTCTTTATTAATTCTTCTAGTTGATATTGATCAGGTGGTTTTCTAAATAATCCATCTTCAGTAAGTCCTTTATTAATAATTTCATTAATACATTTATTTAATACATCTGGAACATTATCAAGACAGGAACTAAATTGTTGAAATTGAACTAACTCTTCAATAGAAGAACCAACATATTTATTTTTCTTAATAACAACTTTTTTATTAAAGAATTTAGTTGATACAGGATTTCCTAACTCAAGATTTGGAGTTGTTGTAATGTCAAGAGATGAAAGAGTTTCTTTAAATTGATTGGTCCATTCAATAATATCACTCTCATGTTGAAAGGAGAAACAAAATGTTTTACGGTAAATTGAATCTTTTGTTAAGATATGAAGATCTCCTGCAAACGTATGGTCCTGAGGAATATCAATTTCAATGTCAGCAGTAACCAACCTTTTAGCACTTATAAAGTCACATGGTAAAAATGTATTGCCAGCGTATGACAATAAAATCAATAAACCTATGTTTAAATAATATAAATAACATTTTTGATATCTACAAATTTCATCATTTGTTTGTAAACGTAAAAATGCTATTCCTGCATGAATAATCGAATGTTCATTTATTTGATTTATTATAGGGTCATATATTTCTAAAGATGTATTCCAATAACGAGAGGCTTTGAGTGAATTAAGAATATCATGATAATTAAGAAATGAATTTAATCCATCAACACTTTGTGATAATTGAGAAGTAAACGAAGAAGCTGTTATTAAGTTTGATTTTATCCATCTAAGATCACTTAAACTAATTGATTCATTATCACCAATTTTATAAGAAGTTATTCCTTTAAATTGAATAAGAACATCTTCTAAATCAATTGTTTGTTCTATACCTATTCTATCTGATTCAAATAATCTAATACAAATATTGATAAAATCAGCACAATTACAAATAAGATCTTCTAATGAAGTTGTATTATTTTTTTGATAAACTTTTTGATGAATTAATGATTTATTAGACCAATTTCTAAAATTCATAACAGTTGTTTGAATATTTTTATTAAATTGAGTAAATTTATCTAAAATTTCAATAGTAAAAGATAGTACCATTGGATTAAATGAATTTTTTATTGTATTTTGAAGACTTAATATTGATATTTTAAGTGCAGTAAGTATTTCTTCAAAAATATTAATTGAATGAATAAGGTCTTCTTTGTATTGAATAAGTTCATCTTTATCAAATTCTTTTATATCAAATTCAAGAATAATAGATTTTTCTTTATCAGTTAAATTTAATCCTTTATCAAATTCTTTGTTATTAGAAATTCTATTGATAATACCAACGCATTGTTTTTCAATAGAAATGATAATTTTAATTATGTCTTTAATTTCTTGAATAATTTTTAATATTGATCTTCTTGTCATAACATTATTTTCTGGACTAGAAATTAATGATAACTTTGAACTTAATTCAAATGAAGGTTGACGTCTTGATGAATCATTGGGAGTACTAATTTGTGATGAGTCAATAGTTAATCTTCTCAAAGGAATGAGTTTTGCTGGATTTAAAGAAGGGAGATTTTTAGTGTTACCTCGAGAATGTTTAGTAAATGAACGAGGTCGTGAAAATCCGTGTGAACTAACGCTTTCAACAGAAATCATCCAATAAATTATAATTTAATAGTATTTTTTAGTTTAAATAAAATGGAAAAATAATGATATAATAAAAAATAAATTAAATTTTATTTGAAAAGAAGAAAGACACTTAAAACATTTATTTATTTAATACAATCTTTCTTAAGTAATGATAAACAATTTATGTGAATACAAGTATGACAATCTAGAAATAAGTACAATAAAATTTTTATACTATAATTTAATGAAATATTTAAAT